GTGGGGTGGCTTTTGGGGACATCCCTCCAGCCCATGCCCCTTGCTTTGCACCCCCCAAACCACTCTGTAGAGCAGGGGTCGGGCTCGGGGAGGGCTGGATGTGGGATGATGGGGCTGGAGGGAGGCTGGATGATGGGGAGCAGCTGGTGAAAAGCAAGACAAGGGGCTGGTGTAGGGTGGGGGGACAGCCGGGGGTGGGATCTGCCCCCCCCTTCATCTTGCTTTCTCCCCCTCCAGCTGGATTTCTGGCTGGCACCCCGTGGCTCCGGATACCCGGTCGACGTCCGCGTGCCCTTCCCCAGCCTGCAGCCCCTCAAAGCCCACCTGGAGGCCAACGGCATCTCCTACTCCATCATGATTGAGGACGTGCAGGTCAGCGGCGGTGGAGGGGAGGCGGGTGAGGCGCAGGGTCTCGGCGCAGCGAGGGACGAGGTCTCATCCTGCCCCGTATCCCCCAGGCGCTGGTGGACCGTGAGCGGACGGAGATGCTTCGCAGCAGCCGCCGCCGGCAGCCGCTCTCCACCAGCACCTTTGAGTACTCCGCCTACCACACCCTGGATGAGGTGAGAAAGTTTTGGGGCGGTTTGGGGGGAGAAAAAAAAAATCGCATCCTGGAATTGCTCTTGCAAAGCGTTTCGCTCCACGTGCAGCAAGGGCAGGGGGTGAGCTGGGACTGAGACCCCCCCACCCCATCCCTCTCTCCCCAGATCTATGCCTTCATGGACCTGCTGGTGGCTGAAAATCCCAACCTGGTCAGCAAGCTCGAGATAGGCCGGTCGACAGAGAACCGGCCCCTCTACGTGCTCAAGGTGAGGCTCTGGGGTTTGTGGGGTGACCAAAGAGGGGAGCGGAGCCAGGGACGAAGCCAACCCCCACCTTCTGCTCTTCCAGTTCAGCAAAGGAGGTACGAACCGTCCGGCCATCTGGATCGACACCGGAATCCACTCCCGGGAATGGGTGACACAGGCCAGCGGCGTCTGGTTCGCCCAGAAGGTATGGACACCTCCTGGACACGTCTGAAGTCCCCAGTGGACCACAAGGTCCTGCAGCCACCACGGACGCTGAGTGGCTGACCCCACCCAGCAGCACCAGAGAACCCCAAACCACCATCCTCTCTAGATTGTCTTGGATCATGAGACTGACGAAGGTCTGGCCTCTATCCTGGACAAGATGGACATCTTCCTGGAGATCGTCACCAACCCAGATGGCTTCGCCTTCACCCAAACCCAGGTACCACCCTGGCTTTCCTCTCCCCAGCTCCCACAGCCATGCTGGATGGGGCTGGCGAGCAGGATTAGGGTGCTGCACGTCGAGGCCCCTGAAAGGTCAAAGTCTCCTTGACCGCGTTTCCATGGGACGGGAAGGGGACCACCACGACCTGTTAACCATCCCCCCTCCCTTCCCACCACTGATTCGAGGCTGGTGGAGCTCCAGCCCTGGACGCCAGCTGAGATGGCTCTGCCCTTCCAGAATCGCATGTGGCGCAAGACCAGGTCCAAGCACTCGGGCTCCATTTGCGTCGGCGTGGACCCCAACCGCAACTGGGATGCAGGTTTTGGAGGTCAGAACTCTCTCATTCACTCTGGGGGGGTGGGGTGGGGTGGAGTGTGTTTCCACCCTCCAGGTGGAGGCTCTGAGGCCATTTCTGGCTCAGAAAGATTGACTGATGTCCCCTGGGGAAGGGATGGGATTTGCAATCTGTGGCAGAGACGTAGGTTTGGGCTCCACCAGGGCTTTGATGTCCCCTGGGGAAGGGATGGGATTTGCTCTCTGTGGCAGAGACGTAGGTTTTGGGCTCCACTAGGGCTTTGCTGTCCCCTAATGACCAGCACGGTGGGGACCACAAATGAAAGCCACCATACAAAGATCTAGGAGGAGCCCCAAGAGCATTTCTCGCTGGCCACCAAGCAGCTGAGGGGTGGGGAAAGCTCCTGGGCTTGCAAATGGAAAAGGCCCTTTGCGCTTGTGACTTTCTGAGCCGCCCAACCGCCACCAACCCCCCCCCCCCTGTGTTTTCACTTCTCCACAGCGGCCGGGGCCAGTTCAAACCCCTGCTCGGAGACGTACCACGGACCCTACGCCAACTCGGAGCCCGAGGTGAAGGCCATCGTGGACTTTGTGAAGAACCACGGGAACATCAAGGCTTTCGTCTCCATCCACAGCTACTCCCAGCTCCTGCTCTACCCCTACGGCTACACCAAGACCCCAGTGCCTGACCAGAAGGAACTGGTAGGGCTGACGCAGAGGTTTGAAGGGGGCTGGGATGATGTGAGGCTGCTCTCCCTCTCCAAGGAGGAGCAACCTCCATCCTGCACCGCGAAGGGGGTGTTGGCAAGCTGGCTCCTCTGCCAGTCCCTGGGGACCGCCCCAGGCTGAGGCAGCGGAGCTTTGGCATCCTTCTTGCCCGCGGCACGAGCGAAAAACCTCTCCTGCAGGCTGTATCCCGCAGGCTTTTCCCCTTCTTTGGCTCATCTTTCTCTGTGTATTTGCAGCATGAGGTTTCTGAAAAGGCGGTGGCAGCTCTGTCTTCTCTGTACGGCACTAACTACAAGTACGGCAGCATCATCACCACCATCTGTAAGTAACGGGGAGCAGCAGCAGCTCCCCCGAAATAAACTGAAACACTCGCACCTCGACTTAGACAAAAGGTCCCGTGAAATACCCGCACGACGCGGAGCGACCGACCCTTTCGCATCCCTCCCGTTGTCTCCCTGCGCAGACCAAGCGAGCGGAGGGACCATCGACTGGACCTACAATCAAGGCATTAAATACTCCTTCACCTTCGAGCTGCGGGACACGGGGCGCTACGGGTTCCTGCTCCCCGCCAAACAGATCGTCCCCACGGCCCAGGAGACGTGGCTGGGGCTGAAGGTCATCATGCTGCACGCGCGGGACCATCTCTACTAACCGGGATGGGGGGGCCGAGGGGCAGCTGAATTCACTGTGTCGGGGGCGGAAACCACAATAAATCAACGCAAAGAAGGATGAGAAATGCCTTTTGTTGTTTTCCCTTGCTCCAAATCGTGGTGAAAAAGCCTTTTCGGTGACTGACTCGGCGCTCCCGTGGGGCCACGTGGCAGCAGCCAATATACACGGCGTGCTGGCCCAGCGGCCCCAAAAGGGGATTAAAAGGGCACAAAATAGCGGGACGCAAGAGAAAGGAAGGTGCTTGTTCTCTCTCTGCTGTGTCTTGAGGGGAAGAGGTTCAGTTTGACACTTCCCGGGCAAAGCAGAGACCTCGGGCACCGCCGGGGTGGCTCTGGGAGGTGAGGCAAGGCGGTCGGTGTGGTTTATCCTGCGGATTTTTGTGGTGGAAGCTGGTAGAAAGGTCCCTCCTCATCCTGTGGGGAAGGGGAGCCAAGCCCCTGCCAACCCCCGGCTTCTGCAGGCGCTGCTCCGCGCTCTCCGTTAGCTGGCAAAGCTCAAACTGGAAAGCAGTACTCACCCGTATGGCGCCCGTTACTTTTTATTAAATTAAACACTTAAAACTCCCAGACCCTATCGAATTTGGCTCTATCCTCCCAACACCACCGAGCCGAGAGTCCAAAAAATGTACAAAACCATCCAGACGATGGGAAAGCACATTCCGTTCTTCCTTTGATGCCCTGGATTGGGAGGATCTCAAACAGCTCGGACTAGTTTTGGCCATCTGGTTCAGGAGGTTTTCAGGCAGCCCAGAGCAGCCAGGGCTTTTGGAGCCGTCTCTCATGGCTGGATAGCAAAATCAGGACTTCAGCCAACACCCACACCCCTTACCCTCACCTCTGTTTTCAGATAGATGTATTTTGTCCACTTCTAAGTGCTCAGGGAGTTGAAATACCTCCTGCCAGCACGGCGGGGGGGGGACCCTGGGTGCTGTACTGCTCCCCGCCTGTCAAACACCTACGAAACGGCGCTCTGGGCTCTCACCTCTGGTCTGCCAGCTCAGCTAAACCAGGGGGGGGCACTCTCATTGCTCAGGCAGCCAGCCTGGAAGGGAATGACACAGGAGATGCTGCTTTGGTCAGTGGTTTCATGTCGTGATGGTGTAAAAAAGGAGGTGCCGTACAGAGCAGCGGGATATTAAGATCAAGCGCCGGAGCCGCCTGAGCCACGTTACACGTTCAGAGCTTAACGTGGCATTTCCACGGTGCTTCAGCACCACCTTCCTTCGAAACCTTTATTTAGATTTATTTTAATAGGCCCCCTAATAACTAAAGCCCCAAGAGGCGAGTCAGCTTCCCGAGGGTGCCAGGGAAGAAGAGGGTGGACAAGAACCAGGTCCCTGCGGCTCCTGCTTTGGGCTCAGACCCTTTAAACACACACTTCTCGCCCGAGAAGCGGTGCTCTCGTTCCACAGAAAGCAAAGAGGGCAGAGGGAGGAGGACAAGCTACTTCATTGCCAATAAATACGCCTACACCTGAACCAAGAAGGAATCTCCCAGAAGTGGGATGGAGGAGGAAGGGAAGAAAGCAGAGCCGTTAGTAAGAGGGTGAGATGCATCCAGCTTCCTCAGGCTGGGCTGAAATAAGACACAACCAGACCCATGAGTATTTTTTTCATTTATTTTATCTTCATACCAGACCAGCCTGGCTCTTGCAGCACATACTTACACACACACACACA